AATTTTTTGTACTTTTTTACCCTGTAAATTTAAAAACACAGATATTACTTCCAAAAACATATAAATTAAAAAACAAAACCTTGAAAAGATATTCAGTTAATTCCACCATGGAATTCACTTAATGTCAGGACAGAATTCACCTAATTTCATGAAGGAGTAATAGGAAGAAGACTCATCTTCCCACTGCACACACATATACACACCGAAGCCTGGAAAACTGGCCAAAGCATCTGAAAGAATGGCTTTAGATATTAGACAACAATGAATGCAGGGCTGTGATCCCTGAAAGAAAGAAAACAAACCAGGAAGGCATGTCTAGCAGCAGTTTCTTTGCACAGTGGGCAAAGGGAGGGAACCCAAATAAGCATGCGAGTCTGAGATCAAAAGTCAGAGACTATAGTCCAGGATGCAAAGGCAACTAGTATCTGCAGTGCCAATGACCATGTGGAGGGAGCTGCAACAGGAAAACTACAAAAGGGTCCCAACCAAATACCTGGCTGAAGATTAATATGTACCTGTATGAGAAGAAACTACCCAAGGCTGGGGAAAGAATTATAAGAAAGAAATAGGCAGAATAATTTGTGGAGTTCTTATACATCCAGGCATACTTTGGGTTTCCACCAGCCAGAGTTGAAATATCTTCAGACACTTGGGGTAATAGGGTAGAATCCTTCAAAGGGCATTGCTTTAGATTTGGGGTTAAATCTCACTGAGACCAAAGGTTGCTCTAGACCCAATATAAATGAAAAACAAATCTCAAAAGGATCTAAACAAGTAATGCGATTCCAGGTCAGAACAAAATCTAGCACTATTTGAAGGAGTACAATAAAATAGAGTAGCAACAGCATAAAATTTTACATGTCATATACCAGGTTCCTCCATGTGGTCTGTCCACATGAGCTGGTTTAGGCTTCCTCACAGCACGGATACCTCAGGGTAGACGGACTTGCTACACAGCAGCTAAGAACATGGAGGCTGCACTGTCTTTTATGATCCAGCCACAAAAGCCACTTTTGCCACATTCTGTGGGTTACAATCAAGTCACAAGCTTGCCCAGATTCAAGAGGAGGGGAATTAGATGTTGATTGTTTTTTCAATTAAATAGTTTTGAATATGCATACAATACTGTGCACTTCCCTCTAACAGACATCAATTCTTAGTAATGTCAAAATTCTACAAAAAGATGTGAGAAAAGAGATCCTGTGGTTTACATCTTTGAACAATGTTATCTTCACTGCAGAACTGGGGTGACAGGTAGTATAATTTCCTTGCAACTTGAAAAACCAACTTTTAAATGTGGTGATCTTCTAGTGACAAATTTTTTCAACTCCCATTTGTTTGAAAATGGCATATTTTACCTTTATCTTTGAAGGATGTTTTTCACAAGAAAAAGAATTTTTGAGTTAAGGTTAACAGACTTTTTCTTCTTCTTTCAGTATTGTAAAGATGTTCTTCTACTGCTTTCTGGATTGCATTGTTTCTAACTCTTATCATTGTTCTTTATTATGTAATGTGTATTTTTTTTAGGCTTGTCTCTTAGCTTTTTTATTATTTATTTATTTATATTAGTTGGAGGCTAATTACTTTATAATATTGTAGTGGTTTTTGCCATACATTGTCATGAATCAGCCATGGATTTACATGTGTTCCCCATCCTGAAGCCCCCTCTCACCTCCCTCCCCATCCCATCCCCCTGGGTCATCCCAGTGCACCAGCCCCGAGCACTTGTCTCATGCAGCAAACCTGGACTGGTGATCTGTTTCACAATTGATAATATACATGTTTTAATGCTATTCTCTCAGATCATCCCACCCTCGCCTTCTCCCACAGAGTCCAAAAGTCTGTTCTATACATCTGTGTCTCTTTTTCTATCTTGCATATAGGGTTATCGTTACCATCTTTCTAAATTCCATATACATGCGTTAGTATCCTGTATTGGTGTTTTTCTTTCTGGCTTACTTCACTCTGTATAATGAGCTCCAGTTTCATCCACCTCATTAGAATTGATTCAAATGTATCCTTTTCAGTGGCTGAGTAATACTCCATTGTGTATATATACCACAGCTTTCTTATCCATTCGTCTGCTGATGGGCATCTAGGTTGCTTCCATGTCCTGGCTATTCTAAACAGTGCTGCAATGAACATTGGGGTACATGTGTTAATGTGTATTTTCTTCTGCTTTTAAGATTTTCTCTTTTATTGCTATTTTTAGCAGTCTGACCATAATGTACCTCGGTGTGGCTATATGTTTATCTTGCTAAAAATTTGTTAAGCTCTTTAAATCAGTGAGTTAACACTTTTTTTTTATTAAACGTGGAAAAGATTTCAGCTACAGTCATTCCACCTTTTCCTTTATATTATTGACTATATTCTGTTTTCTAAAGGACCTGTCCACTATTTTCAACAATTGTATCATCAATGGGTCTATTTCTATTTTTCATTTTTTCCTGTTATGGGTCATATTTTCCTACATATTTGTTTGTCATATTTTAGGGTTTAAAATTTTTTAATGTTTATCTTATTTTTGGGTTGCACCGGGTCTTCATTGCTGCTTTCTGTACTTGCAGAGTGGGGGCTAATCTCCAGTTGCAGTGTGTGGGCTTCTCACTGCAGTGGCTTCTCTTGTGCACAGGATCTAGGCACACAGGCTTCAGTAGTTGCAGCGTGCAGGCTCAGTAGCTGCAGCCTGCTGGTTCTAGGGTGCATGGGCTTCATTAGTGGTCGTTTACAGACTTTTAGTTGCTCAGCGGAATGTGAAATCTTCCTGGACCAGGAATTGAACCTGTGTTTTCTGCACTGGCAGGTGGATTCTTATCCACTGTACCACCAGGGAAGTCCCAAATTTCAGTTTTTTGATATGAAATTGTAGATGCTAGATGGTGAGAATCTGAAAACTTTTTCATGTTCCTCTTCCTTCAAAGACTCTTGAATGTTTTGGCAGGCAGTTATTTTACTGGCAGATTACCTTCATCTTGTCAAGTCTTGTTATTAGGCTTTATTAGGGTGGATCAAGATTAGCTCTTACTCCAGAGCTTGAGAAGCATTCTTAATGCCTAACTTCCAAGGGTATTCCTGAAGGTACAGTATGTTAAGGCGGCCTTTCCACTCGGTTGGTCAGAATTCCAGTGCTTCCCAGCACTCTGTGACATCTGGCATTCCTACTCAGCTCACAGATCCTCTGTGTCTCAGTGGCAATTCTCTGCCAAGCTTCCCAGAGTTTTACACCACACATGGCAGCTTAGTTTTTGATCAAAGACTCAAGGGATCTCCAATGCATATTTCTAGAGCTATTTCTCTAAACAACTCTTTGCTCTATGGTACCTTGGTCCATAAACCTAAGCTAAGCTGTCTCAGCAGTCCTATATGCCAATCTCTGGGTATTCTCCTATGTAAAACACAGATTTTTATAGGGGTTCTACTTTTCTGTGCTGTGTCTGGATAGTGCCCTTAGACAGGAAACAAGAGCAAATGTCAAGGTTACCTTGTGCATTTCCCCTTTAAAGGATCATAGTTGTGTGCTGTCTGCTGAAAAAGGTTGCTTCATACAGTTAATCCAGTTTTAGAACTGTTTGGCAAAAGGGTGACTTTGATAGCTGTTACTCTGTGATGCTGGAACTGGAAGTCTTATTTAATTAATTAAAAATAGCATAGCCTTAATTTCCAGCCATCAAAAGTCAACCAAGAGGTGGAACTCCCTGGCAGTCCAGTGGTCACGACTCCATGCTCCCACTGCAGGGGGACCCAGGTACAATACCTGGTTGGAGAACTAAGATCCTGCTGTTGCGTGGTGCATTAAAAAAAAAAAAATGTCCACCACAAGAAACCACTAAGCAGTAGAAAAATAAAAAGGTGAGGCAGAAGTATTAGTATACTTATGTAATTTTTCACTATTTTAATTTTTCTAGAAACAGAAGTTTCCAGAAGTCATATCATTTTAGTTCATTTTCATTTCTCACCGATGGCACAGTGAACACTGCAGCACTTTTCATCCCTTCCTTCTTTGCTAACCAAAGCCTGATTTCATGTTTAATTCCAAGTAGATGATTCATGATAAATGAACTCTGTCAGGAATGATGCTCCTCTTTCACTCTGCCAGATACTCAATCCCCCAGCCTCCCTGAGAGCTGGAGGTGACCATACAACTATATTTATTTTTTGCATTTAATGAATAATTTATTTATTTATGAAACTAGATTAGAATCTGGACTGTGATAAATCTACTAATTACACATGAAAATAAGACTCATTCACTTCTTCAATATTATACAATTATATTTTGATCAGACATACAGGAAAGTCTGTTTAGGGGTTTACTGAAAAGAGTTTAATTTTTTAAATAAAAAAGACTAGGTGATCTTGGCACCTTTTTCGTCCATTGAACGTGACTCCTTTCTGACTATAATATATATGAGGAGAAAAACTCTATATTCCTAAGTATGACAGAGAAGAGGGAACAAAAGAGCCTGGGTCCTTGATGACATCACTGAGCAACTAAATTTGTACAGCAACCCACTGCCTCTGAGAAAATTAAAACCTATTTAACTACTCTGTCTAAGGTTTTCTCTTTCTACCTGTCATAGAAAGCATTTCTGACTGATAAATGCACACACCACTTGCTCTTTAGACTAAGAAGAGTTTGCACATAAGATGAAAAAATAATTTTAAATTATAAGATAAAAAGCAAATGGTTGAGAACTGCATTCTTTTGAAGTCTATGAACTAATCAGGTTTCCTTTGATGTGTATGAAATGCATGTCTGCCTTGTATTCCCCTTTAGACTTCCATGTGGCCAGGGGTCTTTTTTCTATATGTGGGCCTAGGCACTTTGGGGTGTTCAAATTGGCTTGCTGACAGACTCTTACTTTTAGACCTACAAATTATTTTTGTCACTTAGATATTCTTTGACTCCATTAAGACCACAACCCCACAGACCTAAAACTTTTTTCCTGCAGAAGTAAGTAGGCAGGTAAAACAAATAAAGAGATGGTTTACTGTCTTACGTTCACATTCTCTGACATCCAAGTTGAACTGCTGTAATGCTCCCAAGGTGAGCTGCCTTACTTCAGCTTCCAGCAAAAGCTGCATCAGAGATGTGGCTAAATGCTTGCAAGCTGACATACATGCTGTCTGGGCGACCTTTCCCTGAAATACAAGAAAGCAAATCTTAAGGTTGATGGATTAAAATGAAATTCCAACAAAAATTAAAATCATTTACTTTTCAATTGGGAATTTCTTTCAAGGTTTTCTCCATCATGATAACCCTTCCTTTCAAATAATTTTGAAATTAATAGCACCTGATGGCAAACATCTTAAATATTAGCTCCATTACCATTAGTCATATCACTATAATACTCAGCTAAAATTCATAAAGCCCAGCTCTTCACTCACAACGTGTTTTTTCCCCTAAATCAACAACAGAGAAACAATACTCAAAATCTTAATTAAACTGAGAAGGAATGTTTCCAGAGAGGATAAATTTCAGCAATCCGTTCAAAACTACTGTAGTTCTTAAAGAGCAAATGAAAATAATTTCCTAACTTATCTGGAAACCAAAGTGTTTACTACTTTATGATTTAACACATATAAAATGAAAAGAATGGTTTAAAACAAAAAAGTTTTCTGAAAAAATTAACAAAAAGAGTAAATTTTCTCAAAAAATAAGCACTGAAGTTTATGAGCACACACTCTAAGCTAATCTTTAAAACGCTGATATTAAAATTAGTAATTTGCTATTTCTTTAAAAGATTCATTTTTACACTAGTGAATTATATTTTAGTCCCATGTCTGAGTTATACAGTATGGAGGACATATCCATTTCTTCCCCAGATGTATATTCATTTTATTTCTGCTATTTATCATCTGCTCTGAAAGACCTAATAAGTCTTTAAAAGTCTGACTCCTCATATTACTCAGTGGAGCCTTCTTTTTTGAAATAATGAAGTATTTCAGTCATACAGAAAAATATATATAATTTTATGACGAGCACACATATCCACTAAACATTAGAAATATAGTCAACACCCCTATATAGCCTCCTTAAATCATTTTCTTCCCTCTCCCCAGAGGTGACCATTTCTTGTGTTAAGTATATCATTTGTGTTATAAAAATACTATAGGACAAGTATATAATAAGAAACGTCTTATTTTATGTATTTGGAATTTTCTATTATTACACAGGATATCCTTCTACAACTTGCTCTTTTGGTTCAATGTTATGAATGTGAATTTTTTTTTAAATGAAATACATGTGGTTGTAGTTTATTCCTTTAATTATTCCACAGTATTCCATTTTAGGACTATACCATAATTCATTTGTCCATTCTTCTGTTGTTGATGGTTTATGTTTTTTTTTTCTTTTGCTTTTATACCAGATTCTGACTATAGTTTTCTCATATATATATATGTATATATATATATATATATTTTTTTTTTTTTTCCACATGTTTCTCTGGGCCAAGGCCTTCTACAAAGTTGTTGCTGTTGTCTAGCCGCTAAGTTATGTCTGACTCTTTTGCGACCCCGTGGACTACAGCCCTCCAGACTTCTCTGTCCATGGGATTTCCCAGGCAAGAATACTGGAGTGGGTTGCCATTTCCTTCTCCAGGGGATCTTCAGAACCCGGAGACTGAACCCCTTTCTACTGCATTGGCAGGCAGATTCCTTACCACTGAGCCACGAGGGAAGCCCCTTCTACAAAAGTAGCAGGCTATACAGAGCGAAGTAAGCCAGAAAGATAAAGACCATTACAGTATACTAACACATATATATGGTATTTGCAAAGATGGTAATGATAACCCTATATGTAAAACAGAAAAAGAGACTCAGATGTATAGAACAGACTTGTGGACTCTGTGGGAGGAGGCGAGGGTGGGATGTTTCAAGAGAACAGCATCGAAACATGTATATTATCTAGGGTGAAACGGATCGCCAGCCCAGGTTGGGTGCATGAGACAAGTGCTCGGACTTGGTGCACTGGGAAGACCCAGAGGGATAGGGCGGAGAGGGAGGTGGGAGGGGGGACCGGGATGGGGAATATATGTAAATCCATGGCTAATTCATTTCAATGTATGACAAAAACCACTGCAATGATGTAAAGTAATTAGCCTCCAACTAATAAAAATAAATGGAAAAATAAAAAATAAAAAAAATAAATTGAACAAATAGAACAAACAATACCACAATGAAGTTTTAAATTTGCATGCCTTTTTATATACTTCGAATAATTCCTTTAAGGTTATTTCTTGAATCTACTAGAATGAGAGTGATTCATAATGTACATGTGTATATATGAAGAGGAACACGGGTAGAAGACAGATTTCCAAATACCTAACTATAAATAGCTCTGCCTACAGTATGTTCTGATTTACAATGTTCCTAGATATTTCTGAGTGTCACTTAGTTGCATAATCACCAGCATGAGTCCTATAACAATTTTTTCCACAATTAAATAAGAGATATTTTATGATTTGTAAGTCTGGTTTCTACTTTTGAGAAAGTAAAAAAAAAAAAAAAAAACAGAAATTTTCTAAATTTTATTTGATTAAAAATTATTTTATAGAATAAAAGATAACTAATAAACAGTGACATTACACAATCTAAAAATGTTCCTCCTCTAGATGGTTCTGTTTGTACGTTCTGAAGACCCACACTCTGTAGGTGATTTAAGACAACAAATGGAAATACTTAAGTTAGGGAATAGAGACCAAGTCAGGATGAGGCAATGGAAGCATAAAGTAGCCTAAAGAGAAAAGTCACAAAAAGAAATCCACATTAAATGGCATGCTGGCAACCTAGAACAGGTGCCACCAAGAAGCCATATAATTCAACACAGTTGTTAGTCTATGTCCCATGTGAACACTCAGAGGCGGCAGGTCAAAGTTGTGAGCAGCCCAGTGGCTTTTCAACAAGGACAGTGGGAGTGCAGTGAAGGAATCAGGATAGACTAAAATATAAGTCCAGAGATAACACTGCAAATCAGAAGGCAGAGAAAAGGGAAAGACACTCTGTCTTAGGCAGCTGACATCTTACGTTACTTCACTTAATTCTCCCAATCACTCCAAGAAGTTGGCATTATTCTTTTCTTGTAGATGAATAAACCTCACTTCTCTGTAAGGTTAAGAAATTTAGACAAACTAATACAGCTATTTGTTAACTTCTACCCAATCCTAAATCTGTATCTTTCCAGTAAATCATCACCTAAAAAGCAACAGTAAACCTTACACTGTCTCATACTGGAACAGCTGGGCAGAAACAGGTTCAGATAATGGCAGGGTTAACAGGTTACCCAAGACATAAAAACTAGGTCCAAACAGGTAGGACAACAGTAGCTCAGGAGCCAGCTCTTCAAGTACTGGGTATCTGCTGGGCACGCTTTTTAACGTGAAGTCCAAAGTAATTATCTAGGCCAAGACAGCTATTTAAAGGTCCTAACAAACTGAACAAGAAGATGTTGTAAAAATTAAAGAGCTAAAAGTCCAATTAAGCTGGAGGCTGAGAAGATAATATTTGAAAAGCTTGTTTCAAGCAGTCAAAACAGATTGCCAAAGAGAAGGAAAATGAACCTAATAAAATTAAAGTAAGATAGCTTACAATCAGAAAGATAAAGGTTTGAATTTTCATGTCCATCACTGATTAGAAGTGTAATTTAGGACAAGTTAGTTGATATTTTAAATGCACTATTTATCTAAAAATATTAAACAGCTTATCAACTTTAGCATTAACATGAAACAAATCTATCAGTTTATATCAATAGAGCCAAAAGCACTTATACTTCACCATATGCTATATACTACCTTAACACACTGAAGTACTTAACTGTCCTCCAATCACTTTCCACCATATTTCCTCCCACTCAAGCCAATTCCTTATTTCCAAACATAGTGATAATTGCAGAAATGTATATTTTCATTGTTAAACATTTTTCTAATTATAGAAAGCATTTTGGAGCTTTGCTAATTCACAGTCTGCTATTCATTCATTCCCCCATTCCCCTTTTTACTTCTGGTTTCCATTACTACCACAATATCCATAGGTTTTCTAAGAAAGCATAAACAGAGACTCAGGCAATAATAATCAAAGCATTAAGCAATAAAAATTGATGATTTCACCCTCTTTATTAAGTAATCTGCTTATGAAGTAGATTCTTTCTAGGAATGAACTGCCAAACTCTAGGACAGGATAAAATCTGGAAAGTAAGAAAACTTAATCTGACCAAAACTGCCTTTGGATACCCCCAGGAACAGTTTCAAATCAGTGATAATCAAAACTAGCTTATGTCTTATGAAGCTATGATAGTCTTAGTGTACAGAGACTACCCATGAATAGAAATAGAATGCCAGAGAAGATGAAAAATGACCTAAGCATTATCATTATATGAATATATGAGGAACCTGGGATGCAGGGAGATTTGAGTCACACAGTCATAAAAAGCTCTATAGGCAACATCATACTGCCTCTTAATACAGCTACAATATTTCCGTATTCCAAGACAGTCAATAAATATCAACTAAATGAACTGAAAGTCAATTACCAAAGGACTTAAATAGTTCATACTACTCCTCAATTCAGTTAAAATACCTTTAAAAAAAAAGTTTTGGGAAACCAAGAAGAGTACATTGGTGAAAATTTATATTGTTAATTCAAAGTCAGGCTTATTACCATACTGAGGACCATCACTGGGCATAAGCCAAGATCTGTGATAATGCATTTTTCATTTTCACCATGGAGCTCTTTAGTAACCAAATCAATCCACTTACTTCAAAAATATTTGCAGATTTACATAATCTAACTTGAATTATTCCATCTACCTCCTATTCTCTATTTACAGTCTCACTTGTACCATAAAACTTTGTGCTAAATGATTTATTGCAGTGTCATTTCATGCATCTACATTTCCTTGAAATTTATGTGATTTGCAAGGAAAGAAACTATGGTATTTAAAATTTTGGTATATCTAAATGAAGCAATAGTTCTAGACTGCAAAGTAGGTGCACACTGCCATCCAACTTTATGCTTTGGGGCTATCTCATTCTCTTCTACAAAAAGGGAGATACCATACACTGTTTCATACATAGATATAACTAAACACAACTAAGAAAAATGTATAGGAATCTCACAAATTTCAAAGAAATACAGAAAGCTTA